AACCTTGCCACGCAAAACCAACACACCTGCAAAATATATTTGGTGATACAGTTACGATCAGATTGAAGCAGAAGCCTAAATAATAGCTAAAATTGGCCAGAGTCAAAGCAGGAGGCAAGGTGAAGGGCTGTGAAGTCTTTTGTCACTGATGGAACATGCCAGCTGTAGAGATACTGCATGAGTTTTGAAGAGTGATGTAGCATTGATCTTGCTCGCCCCTGTAGAAGATAGCTGAGCATAAGCACCTTGGGAAGTGGTGCAACAAACAAAGCAGTTTGGGGGTATACACTGCCCAAAAGAAAAAAATTTCCTTCATATTGGCTTGAAGTGTGAGCACATGATATAGTTACCTGCAGGTGCAGAGGAAGAGATGTATTTGTTGTGTTAAAATACTCAAGAACATTTTGAGAATAGTGAGCAGTGTTCTATGACTGGCAAACTGAGGTCTTGCTGTCGTTCTTGCAAGACTGATTAATTTGTGTTGGGAAGAGAAGAAAATCTAGTCCCCTTCCAATCTGTTTAGGTGATAGAAGAGAGAGAAAAACTGAAGAATGAACGAGAAGCACGGCAGAAGAAGCTTTACTATCTCAAGACTGAATTGGACAGGCTTCGTAAACAGCAAGGTACAGTGCATCTCCCCCCTGCTTTTTCTTTTTCCACTGGAACTTGTCACTTGTCACAAGTTCCAGTACCTGCTAGGAGAAGTGAAGAGCAAAATAATAATAGTCTGTAGTTTAAAACTGGTATTTTCATACTCCAGGCAATGCAGAATTCTTGAGAAAGCAGTGGCCTAATTACTATATTAAAATTAATTATGTCAAAATTTGGCTGTTACACTGAAGCAGTTGCTCTTGCATCTTCTTTGGCAGCTTGATAAGTTGAATGAATTACACTTTGTGCATTTTAGTGCTTCTGTAGAAGACATGAGAAATAGTAACTGAAGACATGTCGACGTGCCTTTCAATTTTTCATGAATTTTTCATGAATTCAGAGGAGGAAAAGTCCTCTCTAGACAGAGCTAACTTTTTTATTTTTAAAACTTTTGTTTGCTCCAAGTGACTACTATTTTCCTCACCTTTGGAAAATGATACTTTCAGGTTAGAATGTACAATTAACTTTTGCTTGTTTGGTCACACAGGGAAATAGCGATTATTAAATTGATTCTCTCTCTTGAGGATTACGGTGCCTCTGTTAGGGGTGTATATTAAGGCAATCCTTACAGAGGTGAATTGTGCAGATTTAGTGATACTATACCTGAGAGCCAGTTCCATCTTTACAACTTCCTAGTTAAGATTTAGCCGTAATATATTATACTAGTATTTTACTAGTTGCTGGAATAGAGTTGTACAGATCTTAAGACAATTTTCCTATTGCATTTCCAACTCTTCTACTTCCTTGATTGGCTCAGGAGAGATGTTGAGAAAAAAACGTCGTGAGAAGGATGGACACAAAGACCCCTTGTTGGTTGAGGTGAACAGACTACAAGAGAATATTATGAAGGAGATTTCAGAGCTGCATAAAGAATCTGATGCAGCTGACAAGAAGCAATCTGAGCTTGACAAAGTAGCACAGATCCTGGGGATTAACATATTTGAAAAACCCCGGAAACCATCTGTGGAAACCAAAGATTCCTTGGAAAAGAACAGCAAGTCAGAAAATGCAAAAGGTCTGGAGAAAACATCTTCCTCCAACAAGGTAAAGTCTTCTGGCTTGTGTGCTAATGATTGTCCCACTGAGAGAAGAGGGCACTGGGGAGACAGCTGCTCCCAAACATTTACTAGAGGATCATTTGATGTCATTTGTTATCACATCTCATATGCTGGTTTTGATGGTGCATGCAGGTGAGAGTCAATGTATCAGTGTTTATAATTTCCCTCAGGGTTTGTGCAGTTCAGTACCACTTACTGGTTTTGATCTTGGTTTTGCGAAGGTGTTGATTGGATTGAACAGTAGCATGAGTGTGTGTAGCTGTCTCAATGCCATACCAGGACGACAACCTTTTTTTTCTCTACAACATTTCTGGCATGGCCTGTCAAGGAGGAATGTTTGTAGCAGTAAAGCTCTCTGCAAGTTTGGAGCATGTTGGTCTTCCTACTGGGTGATGATATTAACAAATAGTGAGATTTACGTATGATTGTCAACTTTACATGATTATTATGTACATGCTACATGCTCTCTCTTAAGAAATGTCCATATGCATCAGTATGGCCTCTCTGACATGGTCTATACTACTGAGTGCTGGATATACCAAAACAGGCTTATCACATTCCAAAAGATAGTTTTTACTTTGGAAGTAGTATATGATAGTAACATCTGAAAGGTTATGCATGTATTTAGGAGAATAATTATCTTGCTTTTCAGATGTTTATTCAAATATGTAACTGAAATAGCTGAATGGGAGATGGTAGATGCTTTTTGTGTAGACCTTACTGTATATTTTTTGCAGAGAGGAAAATAGTAGGGTAGGATATATTTCCTACAAGGTCACTCCAATCTGTGTATGCTGTGAACTTTTCCTTATGCTTCATCCTGGTCTGGTTCAGACAACTCATTAGATGTCTTTCATTTTAAGGCTTGCTTTTGTGTTTTGTTTTTGTTGTTTGATGAAACATCACTGAAGTCTAGTATCCACTTATTTTTACAAATCATTTGCTTCAGTCACCACATTGTAAAACTAAAGTAGGCAACGATATCTGTTAAATCTTACATTGCATTAAGTTATATTGTTTTCTTATCTTGAGATATGGTATATGTGAATATATTTTTCATTATTTTAACTTTCATTGTTGTATTGCCCAAACCCATAATGACTTCATCTCCTTTGTGTAGTTCCTTATTTTAACAGGGAAAATACTGAGTTCTGGCAAGGAATATTTAATATTTTCAGGTATCTATAGGCACATAGGACAATGCCCTCAGTCTCTAAGATTCACCTTGTAATTCTGATTGTTAACTTTTTTTAATGAAAAGAAAGACGGTGCAGGCCTTTTGACACTGAGATCGGTTGACTCTGCCAACCTAAGGGCAAAAACATGGCTTTCTGCTTATTTGCAAGCTACCTTGTGGTCCCTTGCTACGGAACCTGTGGTTCTGTGTTGCAGTTACATACTGCAGAGGTGAAGCTAGCCTTGTTGTACTAAACAGACAAATCGTCCCTTCTGGGTTCTAAATAGCAGCAAATTATAAAGGTATCTTTGAGCTGGGGTTGAGCACAAACTAGGGTTAAGAGTTGGCTGTCACCTATCTATGTAAGAAGCACTGTCTTTTTAAAGTTCTGATTGAGATAGTATTGTTATAGGATGTATTGGGTGGGTGTATGTCTGTAAATAACATAAACAATGGCACTTCTCAGACACTGTCAGCATCCTTCCATGCACTTTCTGTGGATCATAAGTTGATCTTCTCATTGTTTAAGAGAATGTCAGCTTTGCTAAGTTCTTGCAGACAGAATATATGCAAATATTCACAGGTCGTTTCCTACTCAGCTACTAACTAGCTTGTATTGGGATAAGGATATCTGTGGGGTGGCTAGTGGCCTGGGCGTCTCTTTATTGTTTGATTTACAATGTATGTTGTGTGGGGTGGTGTTAATAGGGGAGAATCTATCCCTGTTTATCAAAAGGAATTTCAAGTAAGGCAGATGTTACTTAACAATTTTGAATCTGCTTAAGTAAATTTGTTCAACATTGATAGTGAATATCTTGGAAATCATGCAACCAACTTGGGTCTGCTAAGTTAACATGCTATTCTTTCCAGACTGCCACGCAGATTAGAAACAATAACATAATGGGCTTTCAGCCTTCGAAAATGTAACTCAAAACTCAAAATACATTCTAGTACTATCATAATCTAAATTAGCAGGGCTCATTCATCATCTATTTCAGGGATTATTTGTTTTGCTGTTCTGCAGTGTTAGTGTAGTATTAATTTTGGCTAGAGTCCTGAAATGTCTGTGTATCACTCTATGGCGTCTTTCTGTACAAATCAATGTAAGTGTAAATATCACATGCTTAAATCACAAGGTGCTTCACCTTATATACTTAGGTAATTAAGAAAACACCATCTTTCTGTTATTGCTAAGCAATGAGCCTTCTGGAGAATTCAGGAATTCTCAAATAATCTGATAAACCTGATTGAGTTAAATGCTTTTAGTCAATTAATTCTTCCTTCCTTTTTCATTCTGGGTTCATCCAAGCTTCTTTTACAGTAACTTCTGAATGCTTCTGGGGAGAACCATTTTAGGTCTTCTGGGCATTGTTTGGCTATGGTAAATATAGTAAATCGGAACTATTCTGATCTTTGCCTGAGACCCATAAAGTGGGAAGGGTGCATGCCATAGGGAATTTGTTTATTTGGTTCCTTGATTGCCTACAATCATCCAGCCATTACATCTGGGAGCCTTATTGGAAGCTCTTCACTGCGGCCACGCAGCATCTTAGTCGGCAATACCAGCTCTCTGAAACGGTGGAATTAGCCTGGGCGCTGAAAAGCAGGTGATGTATTTTTTTTTTTTTTTGTGGTGTGTGTGGCTTCTGCTGGAGGCAGGTTCTGAGTTCTAGAGCATTATGTCTGTCCTGCCATGTCTTAGACAAGTGTTTCCTTTTGTTCAATTTAGGAATCAAAACCTACTAATGAAAAATCCAGAGGTAGAAGCCCGAAGCCAGCAGAATCCTCTTCACAGTCCTCCAAACATCCTTTCCAGTTGGCCAATATTTATGAATATTATGATGCAGGGAACCACTGGTGCAAAGACTGCAATACCATCTGCGGGACCATGTTTGACTTTTTCACACACATGCATAATAAGAAACACAGACAGGTATGTTGCAGGCTTCCTTCAATAAGTGCATTTCATATTGCTGTAAATACTAACACTAAAACATACATCACAGAACTACATTTTACAAGAGAACCTGAAGTAATAATGAACCCAAGAAGTTGCTTATCAAATTCTTTTTCCCTAATGTTGGACTTGAGCAGTTTGTACAGCTACAAGTGTGTTCTGGGTAGTGTAAATGAGGCCTGTGTTCAGTTCACTTGGGACCTAGCGTTTGATATTTGTGTTTCCTACATTTACTTGTCCTTTGCTATCATTTACATTTTACCCTCTTCACAGGTTATTTTCTCATTATAAATTGCAAAATGGGAGGGGAAAGAGAGGAAAACATAGTTCCTGTAAATATTTGCACGTTTTTAATGTTCAGTGTTCTGAAAGGATGTTAAAAAGAAAAAAGACAAGTCTACTTGCCTTGCTAGTGTAATATATGAGCCTGTATACCTCTGTCACTGTGCAAATAGACCCTGGATCCTTACAACAGACCTTGGGCTTCGAAGACCCAGAGTGAGACCAAACAAGACTCCATAAAACGCATCGATAAGATAACTGTTCCTGCCAAAGGTACGTTGGGGGTTTTTTAACTTGGGTATCATCTTGCTTTTGCACTCCAGCAGGTTCCAGGTGCTCAGAGAAAGGAATTTCAAAACTTTGCCTTGTTATAGGAGCATGTATAGATACTGTGTTATTAGATAAAAGGCAAATGATTTAATTTCCTGGTTGTTCTTGTGGAAACAATCATGAAGCAAGAATGTAGGAAAACATAGCATGGTTCCTTCTCTTCTTTTTAGAGTTTAATTTTTTATTTTGAATCCCAGGTGACTTTTTCTCCAGTGTAGTTCTGAAGTGATTTTTGCTAACATATTTGAATTCAGAACATAACCACAAGAGCTTCCTGTGTTTGGGCAGATCTTGTGCACTACTCCACACAGTCTTGCAACAGAGTCTTCTGTTCAATAAATTTTTAGTAGAGGTGTCTCTGAAAAATGATTAATGAGTACTTGGTAGAGTATGGATACAGAGAATCTGAGAAAGCCATATGGAAGGGGCTTTCTTAAATCTTACATTAATTAAGAATTAATATAAGATTTTAAATCTGAATGTCTAAATAGGCTTGCCAGTGATCAATCTCAGTTTATTCATGTTACGTACTTCTAGTAGTGCCCACTGAAGGAGGATCTGCAGTGTGTTAGAAAACTGCAGCTGGTTCTGTAGGCACAAGGATGCAGTCTTGCTGAACTTCAGTGAAAATACTTGTGTTCTGTTTATAAACCAGGTGTTTGGTATTTGAGCAGACACAAAGATGGAAAATAGATTAAGACTGTAGGAAATGTTAATCTACTTGAATAGGGGATAGCCTTAATATGATGGAGAGCACTAAAATAATTTTTTGACTCATAGTAATCAAGCTTCTTCACTTTCCATATTTGCTCCTGGTAATGGTGGTTCCCATACTGTAAGTGTAAGGAGAGCGGCATTAGCTGTTTCAAAAGGCGCATTGCTGGAGGTTTTGCTGTTGTTCTTTGATATGTTTATCTGGCTTTGTTAAGAGCTTGGCATTTATTAAGTTTTGTTTCTCTGATCATTTTCTTCGGCCTTTTCAGGCTCTGAGTTTCTGATTCCCATCACTGGATATTATTGCCAGCTCTGTCATGAATTTTTTGGAGATCAAATCTCAGCAGAGCAGCATGTGAAAAGCCATCCTCACAATGAGAAATATAAGGTTGGTAACTGGTGTACCAGGAGTGAGTCATTCTTTGTGTTAGCTTCTACTTGTTCTGTCTTCCTTTCCTGAAGAATGAGATTTGACTCCTCAGAGTATATGTATTTGGTTATCTTCACTACATTTTACTGAACTAAACAAGCAGAACTTCCCACTACACAGAGACTAATCTTTCATCTGCATGAGGTTGAAATGGCGTTTAAGTCCCAGCGCTGATTGTCAAACTCTTCTGTAAAGTGCCAGCACTGCTGCAAGCCGCCACTGAATTCACGTTAAATTACAGAATGTAGAGTTTGTAGCATCTCAGTTTCTTGGTAGGAAGAAGTTCTCTGCTCTCTTAGTGTTGAGATGGCACTTACTGAACAAGTCAGAACTGTTACAGAGCTGAATTTATTTATTTATTTTTCATGGAAACAGTGGCTAAAATTATGTCATTTATTTCCACAGAAATACATAGATGAAAACCCACTCTATGAAGAGAGGCGAAATCTAGACCGTCAAGCTGGATTGGCTGTAGTTCTGGAAACAGAGCGCAGGCGGCAGAGTGAACTGAAACGGAAACTAGTTGAGAAACAGAAAGAAGAGAAGGATGAGAAGAAACCAAAAATAATAAAGAAAGAGGAAGCAAAGAGCATCCCAGAGCTTGGAGAAGGGACTAGTGAAACTCAAGGCAAAATAGATTCTTCTGGGCGAAAAATGGGCATCAAGCTTAAGCTGAAAAAGGAAGAGAAGAAGGAGGAGAAAAAAGAAGAAAAGAAAGAGGAATCTAAAAAGGAGTCACCAAGCCAGACTTCCTTTGGGAAATTCAGCTGGAAAAAGACTGAGAGAGAGGATAAAACCCCAGGAGGAGCTATTCCAAAGGAGGAGAGTACAGAAGGAAGCAAAGAGGAGAACAAGTGTCAGACTGGGAAACCCCATGTCAAGCCCATTGAAATCAAGTTGTCTGGGAAAACTGTTATTCCGCATACTAGCCCATGGACACCAGTTGTTTCCACTACAACACCAGCAAAAATTCTACCCAATCTACCAGTCCCCACTATGATTTTCAGGAAGTCTACTGCTGCAACAGTTAGCAAACCAGCACCTTTGAACACCTTTTTATCCATAAAATCCTCTGGAGCTACCACCAAACCACTGCCTGTGGTAAAAGAAACCAATGCAGACCTTTTACTGCCTCCAGATATAATCTCAAAGGCTTTTGGAGGAGAAGAAGTAATTTTGAAAGGGGCAGAGGAGGATTTGAAAGCAGCAGAGAAAAGTGAGTCTTCTCAGACTTCAGATATACCACGTCCACCCCCTCCTCCACCAGCAGTCCAGCAGGCAGCTGTCATCCCTGCTGATGAAGTAGCTCCAGGTGTGTCTGAAAGTGAACAGACGATGCTGGCAATGCCCGTGAGACCCCCTCCACTACCACCTTCAACTGCTTTCAGTGAACAGGCAAAAAAGGTAGAGAAACGAAACTCTTGCTTGGCCACAGCCAATGCTAAAGATCTCTATGATATTTTCTACAGTAGTGGTGGAAAGGGTTCAGCTGACAGCAAGCTTGCAAGCTCTACACTTCCAAATGGAGAAAACTCTAACCTAACAAAACCCACAGACTTATCTGCAAACCCTAGAACAAATAATAGCTCATCCTCCTTGAAAGAGGATTCTCAGAATGCAGCTACTGAAGTTAGCCAAGTCCACTCAGCTGAGAGAGGCTCAGAACTGGAGAAAACTGATATTCAGGAGACTTCAACATTTCATACTGAGATGATCCATGACATTGAAAATGGTATTCAGAAAGACATAGGTCAAAAATTTCAGACTTCTCTTTCAACAGATGTTCAGACTAAATTGAAAGAAGATTCCTCACAGTGTAATAATCAAATAATGGTGAGTTGGGTCCTTGGTGAGAATCAGGCTGAAATGAACAAGAAACCACTTCAGCCTCAGCTATTGGAAATGTCAGTCACAGAATTGCCAGAAACAAAAACTGCTTCTGGTATCCAGATGCCTGCAGAAATTGGATTTGTGGGTATAGGAGGTAGAGAGCAGGTAGGCAGACAGGAATTCTGTGGTCTGCAGAAAACAGAGGTCCAAGAGAAAGTTGGACAGGAAGATGCAAGTAAAACTGCAGTTACTAACACAAGTGTTCCTAGTACCTTGGAGAAAGACGCAGAGATGAAAGACCGGGAAGTAAAAGTGGTAAAGCCTGAGCTTACCTTACACCCAAAGACTTTGTTACCTGAAACACAGAATGAAGTTAAAAATATGGGAAATTCTCATTTGGTAGAGGAAAAGTTAAGTGATAACTGTAGAACTCGCTCAGAAACTGTTAGTCCAGACTTGCTCTGTGATTCTCAAAACACTTCAAAAGAAAAAACTTTTGTAGCAGTAATGACAGAGCCGAATTCTATTGATGCCTCCTTAAAAGATGAAAAACTGAGAAGTGTAGCTTTGGAAGTATCTCAGCCAGGAGTCCATGGTGAAGCTTCCCAAATTTCAGAAACCCAAAATAAGATTTCAGAATTGACAAGAAGTCCTGGTGAATGGGACACTTCCAGAACTAGTAATGGAGAAGAACAGGTCATTGCAACCCATTCTTGTTCTGAAAGTGGTTGGGATCTACCAAATACTCCAAATGTAGAAATAAAAACTGGTTTTAATGAAGTTAGTGCTTCAGAATTGACAGCGGTACGGCCAGACACATGTCTTGCCAACACAGAACGTAGAAGCAGCATATTAGAAGCTCAAGAAAAAGTTCAACCTGACCCTTCAGGCCATATGGTGTTAGATAACCAAACCCAAAGGCAGGAAGTTGCATGGTTAGTCAATGCCTGCTCTGCGAACATTGTTGAACTCAGATCCAGTGTAGAATTAGTAGTTGAAGTCGAAAAAAAATCATTAGGACACACTGGATCGGATGCAACATTAGATAATGTTTTTGTCAAGAGAGAGGCAAAAGAAGTAGGGACTGGAGGCTTCACTAGGGCTCGCTCTGATCCTGTCCAAGACTCAGTAGTTGCTTTATCAGCAGATTTCCATAGGGAGCATCTTTCAGCAGAATCTGTCCACTCCCCAGAAACAAAGCATGAGGTTGTAAGAACTTCAGCAGCCAGTGACTTTCATCTGAATACCACTCACTTGGGACTGAACACTGAGCAATCTGACAGTCTCTCTGCAAATGTTCGTGTGGACAACAAGAAAATTTCTTTGACATCAGAAGAAGATGTGAAACACAATGAGACTCCCTCCCAGAAAGCAGAGCTGGAGTTCAAAAGCACTGATTTCAGTTTGGGAGATACTAAGGTAAAACATGAATGCATCAGCATCCTTACGGCTGGACTTTTAAATGAGAATACGGAAGAAGTCTCAAAACTAGAAACTGTTGCATCCATTAGACTGGAGTCCAACAAACTTCAGAAGCTGGGCATTGAAAAAACAGTGGATGAAACAGAGATTACTGATTTTGCTACATTGACTTCTGGTACTCGGGAAGATAAATTTTGCACACGGATTTCCCAAACAGCTATGCCACAGCTTGGATTGCAGTCCTCAAATAGTGACACCACAGAAGTGGTCATGCCAGTTCTAGAAATGCAGGGCATTTCTCCCATTTCTGAGATCCTTCTGCCAGCGGAGGAGAGCAAAGGTGGCACTGTTGAAATGCCGTCACTGAGTTACGATGGAGGCAGCACAGAAAGCCAGGCTTCTGGGCCTGTGGAAGCTTTCCTTCCTGGGCTCAAAGAAGCACACGGAAAGGAGGGTGGCTCAGGAGGCAAGAGAGCGTGTATCATCCAGAGCAAGAAGACTGAGCAAACAGAAACTACTGACAGTAGTTTGGAAGCTACAACAAATTCACAAATTGCTGAAAGCTTAGCAGAAAGCCCAGTGGGTTGAAGCGAACCCAGCCAGTCCCAATATTTGAGGAGCCAGAGCTGGGATTATGTATATGTTTTTTGTTTGGTTTTTTGTTCCAGTTGAGGGTTTTGGGTGTGTTTTGCATCCTGTGGTAGGACTTGACTAAAGTGAAAGTTACATCATCGGAAACCAGACACATACTTTATTCTGTACATAATTAATTGTGTAAAATGTTTTTTCATGTGAATTTTTTTGCCAATTTCTTTTCTACACTCTGCTATTAAAATGGAATCTCTCGTTTATAATGCGTGCGTCTTTGTTGTTTATTTTGGGGGCTTTTATTCTTTGACTATTCTTGGATGATTTCCAGCTCACCCTGTTTGTGTCAGTAGCACCGTGAGTAGCCCAGCTGCTGGGACAAGCTCAGGAACAGCAGTTTAGAACTTGAGGAAATGGAGACTTGCAGAAGAGCTAAAATTGAAAATTTCTTTAAACTGTAATGCATGGTTTTGTTTACTTTCATTGTTTGAAATGCAAGAATGTGATTAGAGTTGATTTTTTTGTTTGTTTGTTTATGTCTCTGTGATTTGTAATTACTGTTGTATTACATCTGTACTTAAGCTGTTTCATTGTATTGTATAAGCACATGTATGGATGCCACATCACTAAGCAAGGGGAGAAAATCTGTCCGACTGGCTTTTGGAGAAGAAGACTAATCGGTAAGGCTCTGTGGCCTGACACCTGGACCAGACATATTGAGGTCACTTACATGATTTGAAATGGGCTTTCTTTCATTGTATTGTGATCCAGTAACTATTTGTGTTAAATCATTTAGCAGCTGACCAGCTCTGAAGAAGCAGAAGATCAGAACCCTGGTGTCAGGAATTGGACTCGCTTCATGTGATACAGACACATGCATGCCTACCCTGAATGGTCCTTGAGCTATCAAAAGCTCTAGTGTGATGGTTCTCATTTGTATAGCTTGTTAAAGACTAAAGTATTAAATGTGTTTGCTTGGATAAATATAACATTTTTATTTGTAAATTGTTTAAAAAATAAACATATGGTGGTCAACAAGACTTTCTTCTTGATTTTTTTTTTTAACTCAAGGAAAGTGTTTTATTTCAGTTAGTTTCTAACTCCTGTAGTTGCTGATAAAATTGAGAAACTGTAGACAGTGAAGACATTCAACAGTTAGCCTGCTCAGTAAAAAAACTGATTTATTCCCAGCTGAAGTCAATGGGAGAACTACTGTCAATGTCATCAGCGGAAGTTTGTTTGAAGTCTTGAGCCCTATGTAAAGCTCAACGTGGGGGGTCAGGGGCAGAACCCAAGCAGAGTTGTTTTTTCTGTAATCACTACCAGCACCTGGACCTCCAGAGGGGGGGAAAAAAGTCACCATTTCCATGACTGTATGAAGAAGGTATGAAACATGTTTCAGACTCATTGTAGTGGTTTTCATATTAGAAATGTAAGAACTATCTAAGCTGAATTTGGAAATTTAGTATAAATGGTCAAGTCGCCAAAAAAGGGGGTTTTGAGAAAGGCTCTTAGAGCTGTTTTTATGATGTTAAGCAGTTAACTGCGTTGAACGTAAGTCGTCTTTGTTAGTGTCATTGCCCTACTTTCTTCAAATAACCGTTTGCTGTCAAAACCAAAGAAAGTTTTGACATGCTTTGATACTTTTAAAATGGAGTTGGGTAATGAGTAGAGATTGCTTAAATCCTGGTTTATAAATAAGTCCTTTGTAGTTGTTTCTCAGTTTTCTTTTGTAAATGTTTTTTATTATATATCTGAGTTTATTTGTTCACATTTGACAGCTGGATTCCCCCCTCCTCCCCTGTTTTCTCTCCAGTTTCTTCAGTGAAGTTCCTGGTCCCTTGTAAATCCGGAGAGGAAGAGGGGAACTGATTTTCTTGCCTGCCTTGTATTGAGGGGTATCAGTGCAGGGAAGGGAGATATTAAGGGGAGGGCTGATTTTTTGCAGTTCTGCATTTGAGATGGTGCTGGTTTGGAATACAGATGTGTTTTCTGGTTAGTTTCCTTTTGCAGATTGGTTTTCATGAAGTGCGCACAATGGCAAATAATCATTTGGACAGTCACGATCTTCAGACAACCTTATTCGCTGCTGTGTTACCTGTGTGGGACGTACTCTTGATTAACTTTATTCTGGGGGAAAGGACATCGATATAAATCCAATATCCTTGTTATCCACTCTCCTACAGTTGCTTCTACAAGTAGTGGTGGTGTTCAGTGCAGAACCTGGCTGGCTACGACCGGAGAGCTGCTAGCACCAAGGGAAGGCAAGAGCTTTGCAAATGAGAAGCAGAATTGTTACTCCAATATTTGCCTTCAGCTCTCCAGAAGCTGAACCTTCCTACAGTACAAATTAAATAGTACTTCTCTTCATGCCCTTTCATCAAATAATTGTTCTTCTATCCCTGAGTGGAGAAGGGTGCTCTGTTCCACACTGGAAGAAAGATTAATTTGGTCTTTTTTGAGGTAGGAGTAAAAAGTACTCCTGGAACTGCCGGAATGGACAAGAACAAAACAGATGGTGTGGATGGTGACATCTAGGCAGATTGGCAGACAGAGGCTTTAACACTGTCTTGCAATTTCATGAAATGGCATATATTTTTATTTATGTATTCTTTTGTTTTGTTTTCTTTTTTTCTTTTTTTTTTTTTTGCTGTGGTTTCCAGAGGCATGCAGTAAATGATTTACCCACTGTACTGGTCCCCTGTGCTGGCAGAGCGGTAGCATAGTGCACTGACTGGGAAGCCTTAAGTTCTAGGCTGGCCTTGGACTCTTGACTCCAGATCCTCAGGAGGAGGGGTGAGTTAATGGAGGGGATTTACTTGTGTGTTTGAATGGTGCAATACAGCATTACTTCTCCTTCCCGACCTAGTTCGCTAAAAGCTGCATAAGGCATAAGACGTTACCTTTCTCCTGATTTTTAGAAAGCTGCTGATACGGAAGAAATAAGCCTAGTTTTCAAATGTTTCTTTCTTTACACTACTTCAAACTGGGCACAAATACGTAGTAAATTCAAAGGACAATGGATTAACTCTAAGCTTTCATTTGATGCTGCAACCTTTAGTTTGCCGTGATGGTGGCTGGCAGAAAGGCCTTTCTCCTGGATGAAGTTTGTTGCAAAACTTACTAAGAGGCAGTGAAAGAAGAGCCATGGAAAAGCTGCTGGCGTTCTGTCAGTCTATTGTAAGTCCAGGTGGTTTTTTAATACTTTTTCCAGTTTCTTTTAACATCTGTGGCTGCATTTGGAAAGGATGAACAGCCTTCAAATGTTTACAATTGGCAGAAAACTTTAAAGCAAAAGTAAAGTTTTAGACCAAATAAGTTTTTATTTTCCTGAGGTAGTCTCTTGGGCAGGTAAATCTCGCTTCTAGCTTGCTAGAATCTTGTCTTTGACAAAGTTCTAACTAAGCAGCAGGTAGGCTTTTGGGGGGATTGTTTCTTTGTTTTAGACTTGTAAATGGCATATGAGCAGGGAAGAAATGTATCGAGCAGCATTCCGTTATTAATTTTTTTCCAAATGCATTTGTGTCTTAGTAGTCAAAAGTACAAGTAGTAGATTAAGATATAAGGTCTCTGCCATTTCTTAATTCTTGCCAAAGGTGGAAATAAATGTCTAATTCTTAGCTAAGGGAAGCTGCACAAAGATCCTAAATTTTGCCCATGGAAATAGTAGGAAAGTGGGCAAAGACAGATAATTTTTTTTAGCCTGGTAAACTCCAAAATGTTTCCAGAAATAGCAAGTGTAAGTAAGTGGTGATAGCAGAAGACTCTTTAAAAAAACAAACCCACAACCATCCACCAAACTAGTGCATCCCAAAACATGATAAAACTATTTCTTCAGTGCAAAGGGCAAGAGAAATCACAAGACAGGTTTTTATGTGGCACTTGATATAATACTGTTGGTTTATTACTCTCTCAGAGTGTTACAGAAAGGTAAAGGAAGCAAAATCATTCCCTGAGACAGAATTCAGTCCTCTTCTGGCAGCTGCACAGAGTAAGTGCGACAGCCTGTGTGCCACCACCATGGGAATATAGAGCAGCCATAAAATTGATTTTACTTGACTCCTCTCCCTCTATGTAGCATGAAGAAGGAGAGATGCAGGTTACAGTTGCTAGACCATCCTTTCTGTTAGGTATTTTCAGGCAGTATGGATGTATTCCTGTCTATAACCAACTTAAGCAAAATAACACAGCTGCAGACTGTTAGATTCTGCCTTAGAGCAGAAAACTGAGGCTCCATGTTTAGTATTAGTTGCTAGGGTTTGTTTTGTGATCCCACCTCCACTTCTTCTTCGGCTGTCTTGTTGCTTGCAGTGAGAAGGCTGATTACCATATGTGAGCAGTTCTAGGTTCTGGTAAAAGGAGTTGAGCTGCTGTAATAATTCTCATGAAGCTGTACAGCAACTGGGGGTGCAGAGAGCGGGGACTTTAGAATTGCTCGGGCAGGTGGTGGAGAACAATTGAATACCTGTGGGAAATAACACTTGCATCAGAGCTGCTTCGAAGGAAACAGTGCTCCCTTTTCCAGTAGGCCAACCAAAGAATCTTCAGTTTACAGACAGGAAAGCACATGTACAAGGTAATGTTTTCAATTCTTAATTGAATATATGGGGGGTTTTTTCCAAGAAACTGCTTTTGTGGGGGAGCTTTAGCCAGAATCTAAGCAACACTGAAATTAGTACCAGTCACTTGGGATACCACCCTAATTTGTTAACAAACTTATGATTAATGTAGAAACAAAATAACATTTTAGGAGCCACAGTAGCTGTGAAGAATGTGAAAAGCCCTGTAACAGCTATCTGGTAAAGAAATAATAGGGATGATCCTCACATCAGTACTCTCATTAGGCTGTATTCATCTCTTGTCAGATAGGAAAAAAGAGAAGGGTAAATGCCAGATAATTACATGAGAGAAGGACTCGTGTAGCTATGCACCTGAAAGATGGGTATTTAGAAATGCTCGATTAGTTGGGGAAAAAAAAAGAACAAAGTCCATTAGCAAAG